AGGCTACGTAGCCCTTATAGGTAGAGGGTATTATAATAAGGATAAGTAGCTCTTAGAGCGCTAAGGAGATCGAGTTCTATAGCTAGGTAAGCTTAGCGCTATCCTCTTAGGTAGTATTACCCGCCGCTTAGGTTAGGGTCTCTTTAAATTCTAGTAAGAACTCCTTAAAGGACTACCCCTCTTACTAAGTAAGGGTCTATAGCCTATCCTACGCCTTCTCCTATTCCTATACGTTACTAAAGGCGTAGACTAGGTAGTTAAAGAATACTTAGGGGTCTTTTATCCCTTTAAGACCGCCCCGCTCCTAGAAGCCCGCTACTCGCTATATCTAAGGCTCTAGTAGCGTATATAGGAGTAAGAACTAAGCTATCTCCTTATAGCTATTAAGGCCCTATTTCTTATTAATATAGTATTTTACTATTAAGTAGTTAAGGAAAAAGTAAAAGGTCTTTAGCTTACTATCTTAGGTAAGCTAAGGTAGTAGCTTCCGTTTACTAAGGGCTGCCTTACGCTCTAAACTCTTAGTAGTAAGGGGCGTATCTATTAGAGCTAGCGTTAAGAGGGTATTAAGGATCTAGTATAAGGTTACTTATTAGTCTAGGTCTTATAATATCTAGTAGAATAGCTTTATAAATCGGGCTTATTTATCCTATTACTACTAGGTCTCTTCTTATAGGTATTACTAGTATAGCTCTTCCGCTTATTACTATAGCTATTAGTATTAGGCTTCTTCTTATAGTAGCTACTACTACTACTACTACCTTAGCTAGTACTACTAAGGTTTTAATATTAGGTCTAATATAAGGATAGCTTATACTATTATAAGGTAGGTAGAGGGTTATACTATAAGTGCCTTCTATTATATTATAATAATAAGCTATATAGGATCTAACTATATACCGCGCCTACCGCTACTAAATATACGTTTATACGTATAGCTTACCCTGCCCTATAACGCTATCGGCTAAGGTCTAGGCTAATACCTAGACCTATACTAAGGGTAAATATAAGAGTCTTTAACTATTATAGGTAATAGGCTTAGGCCGCGGCCTAAGCTATATAGTTACGTACGGAGGGCCGGATCCCGTAAGTATAAAGGCGGGCTAGCCGCGTATAAAAGAGCTCTATATAGCTTATTAATATTATCCTATAGACGGCACCTACGTATACGCCTCTGCCTACTCCGTAATAGTATAAGCTATTAACTAATAGATCTAATAGATATCTCCCCGGAAAGGGTACCGCTTCCTTAAGGGAGCACCCTGCTACCCCTTAGGTAGATAGGAAGTATTATAGCTATCTTAGAAGCGATTAGAAGCGCGATAGCTAGCGAGAAGAACGAGGTTCTCGCTATACTAAGGGAGCCGTCTACGAGACTAGCATTAACCCCTACGACCTTAGTAATACCGGTTACGGCGGCGGCACTACCGATATAAAAGCCGCTTCCTTAGCCGACTTAAGATAGTAAGCCTAAGTCCTTTTACTTCTTCCTTAGCCGGCTATAGACGAAGTTTATAATAAATAAGAAATAGGGCTAAAACGGCTATTATAATATAGCGTGGTATTCGCTCCTCTATATACTACCGGAGCCCTAGATACGGCGGATCTCCGGATTCTAGGATAAGGGCGGCCCTAGAGGTAGACGCGACCTATAGGACTTCTTTTAATACCTTATATATACGTTTAGCAACGTATAGGAGCGGGAGAAGGCATAGGATAGGCTACGGACCCTTAAGTAGAGGGATAGGTAGACCTTTAGCGAATTCCTCCCTAACTTTAAAGAGACGCTCTTACGAGTAGCGGGAACTATAGTATAGGAAGATAGCGCGAAGCTTATATAGTTATAGAACTTAATTACGCCGGCCCTATAGGAGCTACTTATCCCTATAATTATACCTACTAACTACGGTAAGTATATAAGCCGGTTAATAAAGGTAGTATAGGGCTATAAGTAGACGCCGCGTTTCTAAAAGCTTCGTAAGCGCACGCCGTATAGCGGTAATAGGATCACCGCCCCTCTATAAGAGGAATAGCTAACTATCGATACTAATAGAGATACCTTAATATCGGCTACCTATATAGACCGAGCTAAACGCGGTAGGAAGTCGTCTTCGAATATCCCCTATACTATCCCACTCTCTAAGTAGCGGGCGAAGTAAGTAACGAGCAAGGAAATTAGGAAAAGGAAGGCTAATAGCCGCTACCTATATTACGGCGCATCTATATACTTTATATTAAAATACCCCTTCCTTTTAGCTAAGCGGCCTATAGTAGTTCAAGTAGCGAAGATAGAACCGCTCCTTGCCTTAGATAATAAAGAGGACTCCGCTCCCTTAAGCCTAGAGGAAAAAGAGTAGCTCTAGAGTAAAGATAGGCTCTAGAGCCTTAATTACTAGTACTAGTAAAAGAGAAGGAGGAATTATCCGCCTATATAAAAGAGGAGCCTACTTTAATATAGGTTATAGTTAATAACTCCTTACCTATCGCCGCCCTTATAGACGAGGGCTGCTAGTACTATACTATAGTTAACGAGGCGCTTATATAAGAGATATAAGTACTAGTAAAAAAGATCGCCCTAAGGCGAGTAAAGGGCGCCTTAGGCGCGATAGAGGGTATAGTAATTAAGGGCATTATATAGCTAGCTATAGAGGTCGATAGTTACCGTAAGCTTATTATAGCCTATACAATCCCTTAACTAGAGTTTCCCTTAATCCTTAGGAAACCCTAGTTATTATATATAAAGTTATACTTAGTTCTATACTAAAAGAAGCTATAGTTTAGGCTTATATAATAGTAGGTCCGCTATAACGATAGTTCTATAGGCGTAGGACTAGGCGTACGAGCTTTATACTTAGTATAAGAAGTCCTTGCCTCTATCTTTATAGGAACCTTACGACGGTTAGAGTAGGAGGAAGGCCGGGTAGCGGCTAACGTAGCAGTCTATATAGTTAGCCTAGCGGATATCGATAAGGCCCTCTAGGCAAAGAAGCTAAAGTCGCCCTCTAAGCTATAGTAGTAGATACCGGAGCGCTTTTACGACCTCCTACCGCTATTTAAGTCCTAGAAAGCGGATAAGCTTAACCCGTATAAGCTAGGGGTAGACTATAAGATCGTACTCTATACCGATAAGAAGGGGCAGGAACTACCCGCACCGTTTAAACCGCTATATAGTATATTATACGCGGAACTACTAGTGCTAAAGAAGACGCTAAGGGACCTCCTAGATAAGGGTTTTATTTAAGTAAGTAGCTCCGAAGTAGGAGCGCCGGTCCTATTTATACGTAAACTAAGGGGCGGGATATAGTTCTATTATAACTATAGGGCTCTAAACGTAATTATAAGGCCGGACTACTACCCCTTACCCTTAATCTCGGATATACTCTATAACCTTTTAAAGGCGAAGTAGTTTACGAAGCTAGATATAAAATAGGCGTTCTATAAGGTATAGATCTTAAAGGGTAACGAGTAAAAGACGGCGTTCTATATACGCTACGGCTTATTTAAGTAGCTTATAACGCCCTTTAGCCTCTTAAGAGCGCCCGCTACCTTCTAGCGTTATATTAATAATATACTTTAGGACTTCCTTAATAAGTTCGCCTCTATATATATAGATAATATCCTTATCTATATAAGCGGCTCTTATAAGGACTATATACGGAAAGTATAAAGGGTCTTAGAGCGCCTCTAACTTTATAGGCTCTACCTCGACCTAGATAAGTATAAATTTAGGGTTAAAAGGGTTAAGTACCTAGGCTTTATTATCTATACTAGCGTAGGTATATAGGTAGATCCTATAAAGATCTAAGCGATTCGGGACTAAGCTGCCCTAACTACGTAGATAGGCGTATAGAGCTTCCTTAGGTTCGCGAACTATTATAGGATATTTATTAAAGGCTTCTCCTATATTATAATACCCTTAAACGAGATTACTAGGAAGCGGACCGCCTTTTACTAAGGGCCTATATAGGAAGGAGCGTTCTATACGCTTAAGGACCTATTCTCTTAAGCCCCGGTACTACTTTAGTAGGACTTTAACCGGTCTACGTTAATTAAAGCGGACTATAGCGGCTAGGTACTTAAAGGAACGCTCTCTTAGGAGGTAGATAGGTAGAAGTAACCGGTAGCGTTCTACTCTTATAAGCTAACCTTAGCGGAGCGGAATTATACTATTTACGATAAGGAGATACTAGCGATTATTAGCTACCTTAAGTAATAGTAAGCGGAGCTCTAGAGCTATAAGAGCTTCGAGGTTCTTATAGACTATAAGAACCTTAAGTACTTTATAACTCGCTAGTACCTTTCGGAGCGGTAAGCCCGCTAAGCGGAGTATCTCTTATACTTTAACTTCTCGATTAAGTACTAGCTAGGGCGGGACTCTATAGTCCTAAATACGCTTTCTCGGAGGGATTAAGACCGGCTAACGGGAGCGGATATTAAGGCCTAGGATCTATAGCTTATCCTATAAGAAGCGCTACGGACTTATATAGGAGCTTCCCTAGTAGAGGAAGGCGCGGCGCTAACGGATAAGCCTTCCCCCGCACCTTCGCCTCGGCCTAGCGAGGAGGGATAGACTAGCCTAGGGGCGCGTACGGCGCGGGTGTTCTAAGATAAGGTCCTCTAGCGCTTATAGGATAGGATATCGTCTCTAGACTATACCTATAAGAGCGTACGCTACGCCGTTAAGTCCGGCGCTCGATGCCTCGATCTAAAGCTAAAGCTAAAAGTATAAGTAGCCGGCTATTATATCGACCTACGGGGGCACCTACGTTAGCGGGGGAGACTATAGGTGCCGGGCGCGCCATATACTATAGAAGCTAGGGAGAAGGATAGACCGCTAGAGCTAGATAAATAAAACGAGCTCTAAGGGAAGCTAGTCTAGCTCGTCTATAACTCTAGTATCGTAGGCTACCTAGGTAGGCAGGGTATAGTAGTAGGCCTTACGAGGGATTTCTACTAGCCCCTCTTATAGTACTACGTTCGCCGCTTCCTCTATAACTACGATGCCCTCGAGGGGCTTCGAGCGGCACTCACGTGGTCCCCCAGAACCCCGGACCAGCAGTGGCCGATAGTCGTCTGCCTTGATAACACTGCGGCTATAAGAGCCATACGAGGCAGCCCATCGATCTCGTCGCAAGCGGCTGCGGAGAAGTTCGCTGAGGCCGCGGCTCGACACGGAGATGTCAGCACGCGTTGGTGCCCCGGCCATACGGGGATCGCCGGCAACGAGCGGGCCGACCAGCTAGCAAAGGAGGGCTGCCGGGCCGAGGGTCCGGACAGATCGCCGACCTACGCGAACATCAAGAGACAGGCCAAGGCTGCGGCCAGGCGCGACTTCCAGGACTGGTGGGCCGCGGGGCCCCGAGCAGCTACAAGAGCCTAGAGCTCAAGGCCTCGCTCGGGTGCCCCGGAGCTGCACACAAACGAGAGCACCTCCATCACCTGCTCGCTGCGAGGAGCGGGCACGGGGACTTCGCCGACTACCACGAGAGGTTTAACCACGAAGAGGCCCGGATCGAATGCTCTTGCGGGAGGAGAAAATCACCGACACACCTTCTACTGCCGGAGGGTAGGTACTCGACCCCGCCTAAGGCTACCCCCCACGGCGGGCAAGGCTACCACCCAGGCACTAGGAGGGGTTTTTGCCCGTTCCCGGGGGCTAGAAAGGGAGGAAAATTTTTTTGATCGGTTCTCCCACCGCCACTAGCTCGAGGCAACCCTCCAACCTAATATGTACAACTCTCTCTTTTCTATGTTTTCTGCCCGTAGGCTCCCTGTGGGCCTACGGCCCAGCTGACTGCGTGGGCTTTCTCAGTCACCCGGCTCTGACCGAAGACTGACTAATATTACGGCTTCGCCGCCGTGCCCGGAACCCGCTGACGGGGGAAGGGACCTGAGAATCCGAGCGGCCACAGAGTCCAAGAATTGCTAGATAGGGGAGTAGAAGTAAGGAACGCGCGACGGGTCTCCGACGAGCATCCCCATCTTGTACTATACCTAGCCTAGCACGTCTTTTGCCCTTATAGGGATGTCCCAGACGGTAATCAATACTACTACTACTACTACTCTATAACTACGATATCTATAGCCGTACTAAGATTTAAAGGGCGTAGCTTAAGGGGCTACTTAAGTAGCTTCCGGTGCCTAACTAGTTCTATATATATATATAAATAGACTTTATAACGGACCTCCTACTTATAGAGGGCGGCAACCGCTATATATAGGTAATTAAGGACCGACTTAGTAAGTCTATAGTATTAAAGCCGATACTATCTATAGATATAGAGTCCTATATAGAGCGCTTCCTATAGTACTAAGCCCACTTATATAGCTAGCTAGCCTTTATTATAAGCGATAAGGGATTAAATTAAACTAGCCGCTTTTAATAGTACCTATACTAGCTACTTTAGATTATATAGCTACTTAGCACGGTATATTACTTATAGACTAATAGAGGGCCTAAGAGGGTTAACTAGGAGGCATAGGCTTACCTACGGGCTATTATAGCCTATAACTAAGTAAACTAAGACTATTAGCTCCCTACGGCCTAACTTATATTAAATAGTAGACTATATACTTTTATTAAGATAGCCTCTTTCTTTATAACGTATAGCTTCGAACTACCTTTACTAGTTCCCTTTACTATAGATATAGTAGCGGAGTAGTATAGTAATTTATTACTAAAGGGCTACGCCTCTACGTTTATACGAAAGCTATAAGAGACCACGGATTATTACTAATCCGCGATAGCCGCCGCGGCGTAAGATTAAGAGCAGCACGCTAATAAGACTAGGGCCCTAGTAAATAGGTTTACGGTAGGAGATAAGGTATAGCTAGACCTCTATAACTATAGGTTAGCACGGCTAAAAAAGAAGCTTAACTAGCTATACGCGAAGTTTATAGTATAGAGGGTTATTAGCCTATAAGTTATAGAGCTCGATAGTCTCTTAATAAGGGTCTATAATAAGATTAACGTAGACCTCCTTTATAGAGCCTCCTTTAACCCGCTACCTAGATAAGAAGTAGTAGACGCTTAACCGCCTATAATTAAGGTAAAAGGAAAGGATAAGTTCGAGGTTAAAGAGATATAGGCTACGCGCTAGAAAAAGGTTAGTAAGGGGAAACGCTAGGAGGTCCTCGTTAAGTAGCGCGGGTATCTTAACCCTATATAAAAACCTATATATAAGTTTATAGGAACTATAGCCCTTAATAAGTTTAAAGCCTTATTTAAAATAGTAAATAAGAACGATAAACTAGTAAACTACTAATAGTAGCTTAAGCTAAGACTATAAAGTAAGTATAGCGGAGGGGGTAGTTATAGTAATATAGGCAATATAAGCGTAATAGTATAGGCGGAGATAAAAATAACGTTTATTATAAGGCGGAGCCCTTAGACTACCTAGGCCTATTCTTTATCGTTATTATTATTATTATCTTTATTATTATTATCCTCGTTAGCCTCCTCTTTCTTATTAATAGCGGCGGCGGTCTCTAAAGCGCTAAGGCGGCCCTCTAAGCCCGTAAGCTAGTCGGCGGCGGCGGCGGCTCTAGGGGTAGAGGGGCGGCGGCTAGCGGCGGCGGTAAGGGTAGGCGGCAGTAGTAGAGGCAGGCATAGCTAAAGGGACCGCCGATAGGGCAACGGAGGTAGTATCCCTAGCGCTAGGTATATTAGAGGCAGAAATAAGGGAGCAGAAGAGTAGGACTTACTTAGGCATAAGGCCCTATCGCTTAAGGGCGCGGAGGTTACGGTAGGTAGCGGCGGCGGTAGTAAAGCGCTTCTTAGTAGCCCCCCGCGCCTACCCGTGCGAGCCGGCCTTCTAAGCCGACGCCGCAATAAGTAAGACGGAAGGCGCCGCCTTATAAGCGCGGCCGGCTCGCGCGTACTAGTAGTAGCTACCGCCGCGGCGGCGCCCGGCCTAGTCGGAGCAGTCGAGCTCCTACGACGCATAACGTATATAGGGGGCCGAGCGGGCGGCGCCGGCCTATACTTAGCGCTTATACTATAGGAGGTTAGCGGATAACGTCTATTACGCTTACCTAACTACGGACTTACGGGGTAGCGGAGACGGAGGCGGGGGCCGAGGGGCCAGGCGTTACGGGTAGCGGCGGGGACGGCGTCGTTACCCTAAGGGGCGACGTAAGAGCGAACAGCGTAGTAGAGGCGGCGGCGGCGGCGGTAGGAGCGGTGGCAGCGGCGCGGGTAGGAGCGGCGGTAGCGGCGGAGTCGTCGTTAGCCGCGGCTAGTACGGCGTCGACGAACGACTCCGCACGCTCTAAGAAGGAGGAGGTAGGAGAGGGAGAGGCGGATATATCTATCGCGGAAGTTAGCACGATAGAATACGGCCTCCCGCTCTATAAAGCGCGGAACTTACTAGTTAAAGTTATTATTATTATTAAGGCTATTATTACTACTACCGCTACTACTATGAGTATACGTTAATAGAGCGGCCCGTATAGCTAAGAACGGACTAACGCCCTAGGTAGAGCGGAACTTACTTATTAATGCTACTACTACGGTTAAAGAAGGGAGAGAAGGAAAGGAAGGGGGAAAAGGGGGATGCCGCCTTATATACCCCTTAGTAGAGGATACTGCCTAAGGTAGAGGGGACGGGCAACCTAAGGCTTACGTAGGTCCGGACTAGCCGCCGGCTACCTAGGGGCGTATATAATAGGTTACGCCCTTATTTAAACGGCTAGCCGGCCGATAAGTATAGAGCTAGGTCCCGGCTACCTAGGCTAACGGGCGCGGGGATAATAGGGCTAGTAGGGCCGGCCCTATTAACGGGAAAGGGTAGGGAAGAGCCCGCGGTATAGGCCTAATTATATAGGAGCCGTTAATAGGGCAGCGCTACGCCGCGCTTAAGGGAGGGCATTATATAAGAGTCTTTAACTATTATAGGTAATAGGCTTAGGCCGCGGCCTAAGCTATATAGTTACGTATAGAGGGCTAGATCCCATAAGTATAGGGGCGGGCTAGCCGCGTATAGAAGAGCTCTATATAGCTTATTAATATTATCTTATAGACGGTACCTATATATACGCTTCTACCTACTCCGTAATAGTAAATACCCTTATACTTATAAAGATAGGATTATTAGTTATTAAAGTTAAGGTATTTAGCGGGGTAATAAGGGTATAACCCTCGTTAATATTAGGTCCTAGACTAAGAGTCTCCTAGGACTAAGATTCCCTTATACCTTTCTTAGCTTTCTTTACTAAAAGGGAACTAGCGTTACTATAAGACTTTTAAGCTAATCGCTTATACTTTAAGGGCGAACCTACCGCTACCTACTCTTATATATAGCATAGGAAATCAGCGTTATAGTTCTTTATCTTTTTTAATATAAAAGGTATTATTATTAATAAATTATTAATAAAAAGTAATATAAAATAGTATAAGGGATTAATAAAAAAGGTATAAAACTCTATAGTAATTATAAGTAGAAGAGTTAAAGAAAAAAAGAAAATAAAAAAAGTAAGAGATATATATATATACTCTTTATATTATAGTTACGCGGCCGATAAATAAGCGATACTATAATAGTTACTTAATAGTAACCGCTAGTATAATAACTATTTACGTTATAAAGTATAGACTAATATATACTTATATAGGTATATATATATAATATATAACTAAAACTACCTTTCTTTTTAACTAAATATATATAGTATAGTAAAAGTAATATATATTAAAGATATAGCTAAGACGTCTATATAAGAGGGGAGATAATTATAAGAGCGCTATTAAGAGGTACGGGCTAATAAAGTACTTAGGTATATAGTACTAATATATTAGCAGGGTATCGGTAGGGAATCGTGCTTACCCGCTCGTAAGTTATAGACCACTCGCTACCGCGACCGAAGAGGAGAAATTCCTCTTCGTATAAGCTTTAGTCTTACGACGAGGAGAATATAATATATATAGCGTAGTACCTCTAGCTATCTCTACTACCTAACTGATCGTACCGTGATACGTGTTCCCTTATATATTCCGATAGGTAAAGGTCGATAGTAACGAGCAAAACCTAACGAAAGAAACGAAGGCTAAGTAAGCTATAGTAGTAGAAGTATGACCTTCGAACGCTACGGGCTTCCGTTAGCAAATAGTTATAGCCGGCATTAGCTCTATACTATGTTAGATCTCTCGGGGTGCTTAGAACGGGTAATTTACTCTTCGAAAGACGTTTTCGATCGACCTCATCGGTTGACCCCGAGATAGCTGCTGCGGAATGAGGACTGGCCTAGTGTACCCGCAACCCTTCCGATAGTGAGATCGAAATGCCTATGACTCACAAGTGACCTGGCCCACCCATGAAACACAAGACCCTTGCAAATCTTTTGCCTGCAGCACCCACTGTTGCGGCAATACATGTAGCCAATCAGGCATAGCTAAATCGAGCTATCTCTACCACAATCCTCTGGTGTGATAGGGCCAAATGGACCATAGATCCTAAGGGAACACAGGCGAGGAAGCCCGGTCGCGGCGCAAAGGATAGATGTGGTGCAGTCAGGTTCCGCACTGATTTGGTGGGCTCGTCTTCTCCATCAGTCTCGCGGTTCAGCTGGTGCAGAATAGACATGGTTTCCAGGTGGATTTAAGGAACGATACAGAACATGACCAACGCGGGTCGGGCTGGCGGCAGCGCAGAGGCGCAGGACAGGGTCGTCGCTTCCGGGCAAGATGACGTGCACCCAGGACTGGCAGATATGGAGATGGCAGGCGAAGCAGGCACGGGTAGTGTGCGGGTCCGTCGACGTCCTTCATTGCCGCGGGCAGGAACCTTGCGGCAGAGCTGACGCTGAACAAGAAGCAGGCGGTCGCTTTCCTGATAATATGCCGGCAACTCAATTTGATGCGGCAAGACGAAGGGCAAGATGGCGGTCAGCTCTGCCAGTTCGCACGAGGTGAGGGCTGACAGGAAAATTGCGTATCATCTCGGCGCTCGTTGGGTTATTTGCTGTAAAGGATATATCAAGTCGTCTGCTGATTACGGTGACATCGGGAACCGCAGCCGCACGAATCAACGACATCACGATCCATTCCGCCTGCGGGTTCTCGAAAGACTACGCGGTAGCTAGGCGATTCGCCATGGCCAGTCGCGAATGGACTGGCCCAAAAAAGGACGTGCTCGTCATCGATGAAGTGAGCATGCTTGGAGCGCGGACCCTTCACACCATCAACGAGCAGCTTTGCCGATTGCGCGGGGGGAAGGGGGGGGGGATGGCAGGCATCAGCGAAACAACAGCGGACCACAACCCGGAAGCGGAGGAAGGCGCATGATCCCACCCGACGATATGTGCAATGAGATGGCCAAAGCTGCGCCATGGGGATTATCTGGATGATTAGCTGGAGCTCTCATCCTGACCAAGGCAGCCTGTCACACAACAGGATGCACGGACAGTGTGGATGGCTGAGCGACGATCTGGAAGAAGATCCCCTGTGAATCGAGGAACGAAAGACTCTTGATTTTCTATCTAAATGATGGTGAAAAGTTGGCTTCTTATACTAGTGATTTTGGGCTGAGTGACGAAGTCGCCACCCAGGCAGCAGAGATGACGTTGTCTCCTAGAAGGTTCGAATCCATCACTGATATGGCATTACGAACTGCCTGCTGCCTGCTAGGCAGCGCAGTGAATGAGCGTGCTGATCTTGACACAGCCCGTCTCATACTCGTGTAGAAAGTAAAGGAGGTACCGGTAGGCACCACCCCCGTTTTGCTTTGCAAGGCACCTTTGCGTCGCGCTTCCAGCTTCAAGGGATTATTGTGAGCATTTGCACGACCTAAATGCAGCATCTGCGTGATGGTAGTAGCCGTAGGCAGAGGGCTGACAGTGATGTAATTATCGTCTGTCTGTATTACGGGACCCCCTAACAAAACGTCTTCTACCTTAGCTGTAAGATTGCTGTCGCTGGAGTACTCTGAGCAGTTCACGATCAAAGACAGATATGGGAAGACACCTTAAGCAAGATAGATCATCGACGTGCCATTGAGCTGCTGGCCAGCAGGAATACTAGATTTATGCATTGCACCGGGACTGGATGATGAGCGTTCAGGTGATCGTCGTCGGGCAATGATGCTGGGAGCGCATAACGTGGGCAGGGAGAAGACGAAAAGACTTTGAGCGTCGAAGATAGGGCCGTGGGTTGCTGGCGACAACGGAGGCGCGCGAGAGCGTGATGGAGCGCCGCAACATGAAGTGCCAGCAGAGGCGCGTTTGGTGGAACCTCCCGGAAATACAGGCACTACGTCCAGGAATCGTCTAGCCGTGGCCTCGACCCTAGCTCCATTAGATGCCGGATCGGAAAAGTTTTTACCAGTCAAGTATTGACAATAAAGTGGGGCATGACACGGGTAGTTAAGTAACTCGCCGAACATCCTGCTTCTTCGGGCCGACGTTATGCCGTTAGGTTCCAAAGCCCCGCAATGACCAAGTTGCCCAACGTCGAAAGAGGGGTATATCAGAATTTGTGCCCTCGGTATGTTGTGGTCGACATGTCCAAGAAATCACGCCTTGCATCACACCTACGCTTCCGTGCTAGATGAAGCCTCGAGAAATTTTCGGCGAAACCATGACAAATGCCAGTAACAAAGATCCCGTCGGACCCTGAGAAGCTCATGGAGAGATGCCTGGAAAAGGTAACGAAAGGCGTCCTAGCGAAGCCATATCGCGCACTAAAGTATTTCATTTTAGGATATGGTCTGTTCGCCGCCTGTATGGACGCATCATAAGGACGCAGACGAGCGTCAGCCGAGCGATGATACTGTTGCGATAGTTGTTGATTTACGACATGCGAAGAAGGCAGCCGTTAAGATATTTAGAAAGGTCGACGACGGGTTTGAGGGTATGATTGGCATGGAAGATAAACTGAATCTCGTCATTATTCCATGGCAACCCGGCTGGGTTTACTTTTGTGTTGGAGATCCTTGGGTGGGCATTCTTACTCCTGCTGAAGAGGATGTAGTCCATAGACGTCGAGATCGAACATCTGCAATAAACGAGTAACAATATTTCTGTCTACATGATCCGGTGACTTCTTTTCACGATATATTTAGCCATGCTATGAGTTAACCGACATGTTATAAAAGGCAAACCTTGCTGGTAAACAGGCACCGTCAACAGTATCTGGTCTGCCATATCCGTTGACGAGAGGATGCGAATCGCTTCTAAGACAGAAAGCGAATATACCTCCCCTGTGCTTGACCCTATTTTCTGTTAGCGAATGACTCAGGAAACCGAGGATTTGGAGCGAGTATACCCTCTAGAATCGGAACCGGGGCATCGCCTGAATGCGCTTCAACGCCTTCCGAAAGGGTAACGTCAGCACTGGCGCCCCTTCCCTGGGCTGTACGCTCAACCACAACCGCCCCACCGGCATCTTGTTGGGGTGCAATAAATCCGGCAACTCCGGTCCGATACGCGACCGATGAAGAGTCTTCCCGGCCGTTTCCCAACTCCGCAAGATGTCGCTTGCATGACTTTGGTACGGCTTGAGGATGATCCAGAAAGTCGTATCCTGAATCAACGTCTCTCGCGTCCGTCCTTGACATCAAAGTCTCAAATTTGTGCCTATCACAAACTCCCTTGATGAAACCAAGAAGTTCAGCAGGTTTCTGAGCCCCTTCCCACCATTGTGCAAGTGGGCGGTCAAAAAATCGATGAAGTTTCTCCAGTTGAGTGATGGTGATTGAAATGCTGCAAAAGAAGAAAGGGCCTGACCCGAGTTCTTGGAAGACGCGCCGCAAGAAACTGCGCACAACTATACGTCTACGCTGCGTTGTAGCTGTCCCTGGAGATTCGACTATTTTTAGCAACTCCTCAACTCTGGCGAGCGACTTTCTTTGGTCCTCATCTAATAGATATCCTTCTTCGCAAAATTTTGCTCTCTGAGCCTCCATTTTGCTTGTGTAGGTTGTAGACTCTTGCGTCCGCACCCTTGCTCCGGCATGATTGGTGTTCTTTGCCATCGCTCAGCAGTTTCCGAGGACTTTTGGCATTTAGAGTTTCCTTCCGTAACAGTAAGGTTAGGAAGAGAGGCACCTTTGGGACCACAAAAGTGGATGCCAGTGGATGGAAATAGTGAATGAGATGAGTGTCGATGGATTTTCCCCGCTCGAAATATCACGTGAAGGCCGATATGTCACGGGTCACCTCAGCATTACCTCAGCGGGCTCAGGCTACTGTAAAGGTCATGTGATGTCCTCGAAAAAATGGCACGAGGTCCGTGTCAACGATTTTGGGCGTGAGTCAAGATGAACACAACAGGTGTTCTACAACATTAAAAACAGATAAACGCTGTCGAGGAAAATAACCCTACGCATCGCATATCTGGCGTCCATTTGTCGCCGTCCGAAGCGAACTGGCGTTGAATCGTCCGATCCGGCATATCACCGGGAAATCCCTTAGCCCGCCCCCGCGCCGATGTAGTTGGCGCTACTGTTGAGGGGAGTAAGGAGTAAGGTCAATGCCGAGGCCCAAATAAAGGGGTCAGCCGAGGATAGGCTGAACTACAATTACCCCCGACCAATGAAATGCCTCCTTAGCTGCAGGACGCATCAAGGGCTCGGGCCAGGTACAGAGACCTCTTAATACCTCATTTAACTAATGAAATGGGCCAATAAGGCGTATCTGTACCTATATAACGGGCCCCTTGTGTCCTCGTAAATAGCTTGTGACATGCATCGCTAAATTCACCTCTTTATGCCTCCTTTATCCCTTCTTCTGTGCTGCCGCCATGCCGCTGACAGTAATTTGGAAGAGACTTTTCATCTCATCCGGATGTGGTACACATCACTTTACGTCACCGTTGACAAAGACGACCAGCAACAGCTCTCGCCACGGGGCGATTACATGGAATACCAGCAACGAACGAGGAGTGCACCGGAGGGTAACGGCAGCCGCGCACCGCAACACCACGGTTCGCGGGCTTTGGTTTGGTCTGCCAACCGAACAGTATGGCTCTTTTGGGTGCGCTGGCGGAACGGTAAAAACCCAGTACCATCTTTTCGTTACACGGGGGGCCTGAGCTGATTTTAATCTTGTCTACGGTAAGCTGGAGAGCATCGTCGCAGTCTGTCCAACTTGGTGTTTACGGGCACCAGTGCAGCTAATACTCTAAATCTTACTTCGTATCGTCCACATTGCTGCACATGGTGAGTCGTGAAAATAAGTAAGACGTAATGCTGTCATTCAGACGAGGTAAGAGTCCACCCCCTGGAAACTGCGCACATAGCATTCCCTCAACTTCCGTCCGTTAAACCTAAGGCAGCTTTAATATGATCCAATCCGATCAAGTCTCCCTGGGCTGTTTGCTGAAGTTCCTGTGTTACGTACTCAGGTATGTAACCTCCGCCGAAGTCTATCAATACTGCGTCTCCATCTGTATTAACCATAACGTTGTCCGCCTTCACGTCCCCCCAGATGATATCGACTTCGTGCAGCCTCTTTAGCGTCGACTCAATTTGACTAAGCCACCTCTTCTTTGTTTCTATTGAAGCGCTGTCCATTCGTGATGCAAGTGTTTCGCCCTTGATGTATTCCAGGAGGAATCCCATCAAAGAGGTCTTGTCATCATCCCAGACAACTAGCCCAACAAGCGTTGAAGTTCGAAAAGGCGAGCTAAAGTTGCCGCTGCGGTTGATCTGCGAAAGTAGCTCTATCTCTCTTGAAAGACCGTGGTCTTTTAAGCCAGCCTTGAAGAAGAAGACATCATCAGTTCCGACTCGCCGGACTTTTCTTGGCACGTCGCTCATTTCCTCGTCGCTGAGCTCGTCATCGACCCGTTCAAGTTCTGAAGCCAGGATATGGGGAACAGGTGGAAGAGAGGAACGACAAATGAAGTGTTGATTGGGCATGTTATAGCCACGAATATTAGTGTCACCGGCAGGCTCGTGAGCCGAGGGCCCAGAATCTAACAGAGAGTCAAAAATCCTGGTTCTCGGACTGGAGTCGCCATGGACCCTAGCATTGTACTCTTCCTGGACAGCGAAGAGTCTCCCTGCCTTATTAACGAGGATGAACGCGTATGTCGGAGGAGAAAAGTAGTCGAGGAGAGTAATAGGCTTCCGAGTTCCGCCACCTTTTCCGCCACCTTGCTTCGGTGCTACTTGGCGCATGAAGTCATGGAGTGGACTAAGGATCCATTCCTCGAACTGGAACATGATGTCAGGATCATCAAGATCACTCAAAAATGTTTGGAAATCTTCCAACAAGTGACCTCCGCCCAAAAGCTTTTCTGCACTGATGAAAATATAGAATCGCGAGCCGTTGTACATGAAGGCATATTCGATAGCGCGGTCAGAGGCTAACAAGTCGAGCATGCAAAACGTGGGAGCGGGGCTCTCCGCGCCCGGAGATTCCCGGGCCATTTGAAGTGCCGGGCCTAGAAAGCGAGTGGTCAGCTCTTCTGCTTCCAAGCTCGAAAGTAAAAGGTAGCAAACCTTGTATCAACAGATCGGCTTTAACCATTGTCTCTGTTTCTTCCAGAAGACGCTCAGATGCAAGAGCAGTCGACTAGAGAATGATTATCAATAGTGGCCACCGGAGATGACGGGCGATGGGCGATAAGAGCAGAAGTGAAGATTTTAATAAAGGAGAGGAGAGGAGAGAGAGAAGAGGCTCTGACACTGGCCACGTCTCCATTAGCGCGTACTGTCGAGGTGACTGACCCCTCCTTAGTCAGCCTCATGGGGCATGATCCATAATGACCGGGCCAACACGCATAGGGCTAGCCTTCATGCATCATTTCTGCGTCCACTCCACACGGACCACTATTATGGTTAATGGGAGTGGATTGGGATGGAGTGGATTGGGATGTAGTGGATTGCGATGGAGTGGATTGCGATGAAGTCGAGTGAGTAGATCGTCGAAACCCGCATGGTCTGGGTCATCTTGCTCAATGACGTGCACGGCGACGCATCTGAGAGCGGTCATCATCTACTTACCTGAAGGAATAGAGGAGGGGGCTGAAGGAATCGTCAAGACCCGGGAGCAGTCTGGAGTTGGGAGCTGCAATTTAAGTGCACATGACCAGTCGTGGCCGGCGCCACGGGGCTGTCGGACACCATGTAACCTGGGAGACTCAAAATGCTGCCACTCCGGACGGCGGAGGCAGCTATCTACGACGACAGTTGTGCCTACCATGGACTCGCGAGCGTGTTTGCTGCCCTGCAGCAGCCGCCCGATAGTGTATGGGAAGTTTCCGCGCAAATCCCTCCCATCATTTCGATTGTTGATGATTCTATGGCTTGCTACAGCCTATCTAGTTGATCGTTGAAAGTCGGAAGTGCTAAAGAGCCAGGTAAAGGGCTGGCTTGTTTCGATGGACTGCGCCGGAGTCTGGAGCTCTTCGAGCGACAGCCGGCTAAAAACGAAGTAGAATACAACACAAAATATACCCGAGACATTGCTAAGCGCAGTCTCTTCATCTCTCTTTCATTTCGTCACATCGGAAACCTGCCAAATGCGTGTCCATCCCGACCAACTCGCAGAATCGTCTTTTGTATGGCCAAAATTTAATCTTTAGGGTCCTATTGAGAAAGCACATTTGATGAACTTCATGAGAGGGAAGGCTTTACCAGCCGACACGCCCTTGCATGCACCTCCTACAAATTTCGTGTACACAGTCCGTTCCCGAGCATATTTTGAACCTGTTTGATTCATATCCACACAAATGGCATTTCCACCAGCCCCCGAAATAACTAACAAGGCAAACCTGCGGTCTGCCACAGATCTCCGTAGACCCATACATGTAAGTCTCGGTTTGCCTTCGACACATGGTCCGGCGGCCGTTGGCAGATCTGCCTGCATGTTGGCAGAAATTAATCCCGCCAGTAAACCTACTGCAACCGCATCGATATTGGACTTTTCGTCGACTGCACATGGTGGCAAAAGAATAGGGTCGGGCTCTGGTATTGCGGATTTAGAGCCTTAGTAGTGAAAGGTTGGAGAGCATGAGGGATGTTCAATCGAGGAAAGTAATTTGGCAATAGGTAAGAAGTTGAGAGTACATGGCATACGCACGACTTCGTCTCTTCTCAACTGTTTCGGCGCTTGCTCTTTATATAGAAAATACTGATGCAGCATACACACTGTGTCAGCCCAACTCATCTCTAAGTCGGGAAGCGGTCAAAGGTGTCCCAAGAAATTAGGGACAGAGAACACTATTTTTTGGGGGGAGGGTGGGTTTCATCACCATGGGTCGGACATTGGCCAGGGGGGTACAAATCCAATCCACTCCATCCCAATCCGCTCCATCCCAATCCGCTCCATCCCAATCCGCTCCATCCTAGTCCTCTCCATTCAACTACATTCTAGCACACAGCGTCTCATCACCACTTTGCTTTGGGTACGTTTCAGGGTTCATAATGTGAGAGAAAAATGTGCTGTGGCCACTTTCATCTAAGCGTTTCCTGCCATGTTCCGACGTTCGCCGTTGTGACTTGAACGTCTACATTAAGCACATCTCTTTCAAGGCCAGCCTGGTCCTTACATGCCTTTTCAATACTCCAAGTCCCGGTTCGCTCTCTATGAATGTTTCAAGTTGCCACATTTAAAAATACATGACGAGATCACCTTGAAGGATGTTACCGAGGCCGGCGTCGTGTTTGTTCTAACCACGGTCTTTCTGGCGCCTTACCTATACTAAATGATCAGAGTCAAGCCACGAGAAGCTTCGCATAGGCGAACTTGGGCGTTGATTTCCACGGCTTGTCTCTTCTTAGGTTCTGGACTTACATTCGCCGCTTTATTCGGCAGTGCGAGAAGTGCGATCCTACCAAGCGTTCTTGCCTACCCTTTTTTCACAGCCTAGAAAGGGGCCACCGTATTATGCGTCGATATCATCGAGGTACAATCTATTTAGACCCGTCTAGTTATCTCACTAATATACTCATCGCTTATAGCTTATTTAAATTATTGACCCTTTAATATACGCCTATTTTTCTTCCGCCATTAAGCCTGATCTCTCTACTAAGGCGAGAATCATAATTTTTAGACTAGTATTAGTCTTTTACCTGGTCTTTATTGGGGCGACCGTCTGGCAATTTAGGCGATATAGTGTCGAATACTGGTGGGCTGCTTTAATCGTATCGCACTTAACTACCGTTTTTATGGCGATGGCGATATGGAGGAAAACATAACGCTTCTATCGTATTAGCCGGCGCTCTAACCATCCTCAACCAGAATAGCCTACGTCGAACCAGGGGATGCCATAGTTTAGAGCAGTAAGCGGATTGGTGTTCCTAGCATTATCTATGCTCTTAGTATGCTCTGCGACTGGTTAGGTGAGACACCAGTTCGGAGGTTAGTGTGGACTTTGTCTGGCAATTTTAGTTATACCGGCAGTACCTCTTGACAGTATGATAAGAGAGCACTAGAGGAACCGGGTAGATAGAGAGATGCAGCTGTCTATGGTGACAGAACCCGGTACTAAACGGTCGGTGGAGCACCTGGTATTATTCTAAGGGCACTGATTCAGAGTGACGGTAGTTTATATCACTGTCCTCCTCGCTCTGCCTACGGCTACTTCCTTCAATTTAAGCGTCCCAAATTAGGTCACACGCAGACGCCGCGTTTAGGTCGATGCAAACGCGCCAAGTAATCCTTTTATAGCTAGAAGCGCGACCTAAAGGTGCCCTCTAAAGCATTAAAGGAAGCTATGCCTTCCGCGTATATCATCTTATATATATGATCGTCAGTTTAGTCACACTCTCTCTACCCGAATTCCCTACGTTAGTTCACAAAAGTTTCCACCAGTCGCCTGAATGATATGTCCTAAAGGTTTTCCTTAGACTCGCAGAAGGGCTCGCTAGGTAAGGATTACCGGCTCGTCCCGCCCTACCCTCCACGCTGTATGGAGTGTCCAGACGTCTAGATATGCTCTACTTCCGTCTATAACCGAATCTTTAATCGGATTCCAAACTCTAGGGGCCGACGAGCTCAACGCAGACGACTAGTTATAGTTTAGATGGCGGTGACCGCAGCGAGCCGAGCATGTAGCGGCAGCTCTTCAAGCGTACGACACACAAACCTAGAGAAAAGCAGCGGTGATCACTCATCACACTTGTGGTGGAGAGTGCTAAAAAGCAACGGCAACCTTAGATAAGGGATTTAGCGAGCCTCGATTTAATTTTCAGCATGTTCACTTAAGTTAACATCGACTGCGGGAAGCCCCGGGCAGTTCTTTCGCTATTAACGACTCGCCGCAGTGTACTCACGACCGACTTAACCGACTCACTTAGACTTAGACTCGTGTTGGATAGGCGGCAAGAGAGCTTACAACCGACGACGTCTTAAATCATTAACAAGCATCGCATGATTCGGTGACCCGAAGGTAGTTCCCCGACAAGTCTCGCATGAAGGCGCACGAGGATGCAAATGCCAGCTTATAGAGTTGAAGTTTTTTAGAGGATGTATCTAGAGGATGTATCTAGGGGCTACTAACATTCTAATAGCTGGTGAAGATATGAGAACTTAAAACTCCTCTACGACTAGTTGCTTGCTCCTCCGAGATTTGTGAATCCGCTGTCGCTTATGCCCTTGCCTATGGTTCTGCCATCTTTATTCAGACGCTCGAAACCCTATATCCACACTCCTCGAGTTCCCGTTATAGTCTCTCCGCTTATATTGCCTAGTGTGTCGAGTCACGCCCGAAGGAGAAGACTTAGAAAGGCTGATGGTAATGCTAATAGGCTCGTAGAGAGGGAGCTCGAATTCTATCTTAACCTATTTATCTATCTGCCATCGACGGTACCGCTGGCCTCTACTCGATAATAGGAGTCGGATATAGCGACTTGAAAAGCAAGTCTAGCAGGAGGACGATTCTCCTTACTATCGTCGTTAAAGGAACAGTAACCACTATCTTTAAGATCGCTAGATGCGAGCATAGGCTGTATATTCGCCGTAGGTGACCCTATAATCTTATCTTGCGTATTTTTGTCTCGACGGCTTACGTCGTTAAATTAACTATCGGTATCCGAAAATTCTAACGTAGGCGAGGCAGGATGAATAAGCATATTAAGAGCACGAAGATAGCTAGTTTATCTATAGGCAATCGATTCGGTGGAACTTATATTCCCCTATATTGTCAAGGGAGAGCCAGCAGACATGGTAGGCAAAAGGACTTATTAGGGAGTTCGTTGGCTTTTAGAGAGGTCTAAGAAATAGAGAAATAAGGGAACCGAGATAAAGGTAGGGAAAGGGGGGGGGGGGGTGCCTAAGCTCCTTCGCTTTCTATACGAGTTTAGGACGGGCTGCCTTGGTCTGGATGAGAGCTCCGGCAAACCATTCTAAGAACCTCTAAGGCGCAGCTTAACCACCTTATAGTATATATCGTCGGGTGGGATTATACGCCTTCCTCCTCTTTCGGGCTATAGTCCGCGGTTGCTTCGCTGATGCCTGCAGGCTGCCGGCCACCCTTAAGGTGATTTATGCATCTTTATCTAGGAAATCTTTAGCTTCCGCATCGA